ATAATATTGGCTAATGATGTTTGCAGTTGCGGGGCTTAGGCGAGCATTAACTTGGCCAAGTCCAGAACACCTGCTGTCCCCTATCTTGGGTTTCCTCCCCTTTTTCACCACTCTCCATGAGTCTTTCTGTATCTTATATAAGTCAGTGAGGCAATTAAGTCTACCATGGAGTCGAAGTCTTTCCCATGTTAATTGAATCACAGTTTAAAGTTAGTTCGCAATGTGAGGGCTTAAATGTATCTGATAGATAAATAAAGTAGAAAAATATCTTCGCTTCTCTCGTTTTCTAATAAGATTTTTCACCATAAAAGGTTATGTTTGCTGCAAGCTAATCTGAAATACTTCAGATTTTCAAGGGTATTACTTCCAATTTTGAAAATTAGGTAACAAAAGTGGTTTAAGTAAACTAAGAATGCTTTGTTTTATCTTTTAAAACAACCATAATCTTGTAAACTAACTAAATGCAATGATAGAGTTGTTAGCTTACTAAAAAGATATTTTCGGAAGAGATCCAAATATATTGTAAGTCTCATTGCTAAGAGAACAAGTTAAATATTAATTTAATGAAACTTACAATTGCTTTATAAAATAACTTAACTAAAATGTTAGAATAAAAATAAAGCAGATTCTTAAACTCACAGGGGCGAGCTCACGGAAAACTCGTGCATATCATAAAAACTTTTTAAGCCAACATTAGCTATTGTTGGTTGGCCAAACAATTTCAAACTCATTAAAAATTGATTGGCAACCCACACACACACAGAAATCTAATTGGAGAGTTTATGACCGCCAGTTTTGATGTCCTGCCCAGAGGGACAGGGACAAAGCTGCCGAGGGAGAGAGAAAAAGAGACACGGCCAGTTGACCAGGGAGCCATTCCGCTGCATGTTTGATGAATTCCACGTTGACAACTCACACACACACACTTACACACACACATGTCATCATACAGGATGTGACCGGGGTGTGACATAATTAAACGCCAGAATCCTGGCTGCCAGCTAATGAGCAGGATAAAGGGATGGAGTTGAAGATCAGGGGAGTTGGGTGGGAAATGCTGCTCATTTTTTGGAAGTAGGTTAATGTGAAATTATGACAGCGAGGATGGCCTGGGCTCCGTGCATGCATTTTAAATGCTTTCATAAATACACAATACGCCTCGTTTCAAGCTGAGCCAGGAGGCCAAAGGATTCCCGATCCAGCTGCCTGGATTTCCGAGCAGATTCAACTGGAGGAGCATCAGCAGCATATGTCCGACCCTAATGATAGGAAATTGTGCGGTCAATCAAGCAGACGACTAGCAAACAACCACAGCAACAAATCATTATGGCCACAAAATCATCATCGGTTTCGGCCAACAGGCCAACCGGCCAAGCAGCCAAGCAGCCACCAGGCCAAGCGCTCAACAGGATCTGCAAATTCAATTGCCTGGCTGCAAACATTTGGAATTTGCATAATTCGAAGCCAAAAAACTTCGAACTACGAGTGGAAAGGAGCCGAAGCAATTAAGAGTCAACCCAGACAATTGCATCATCCGTCTTCCGCAGCCATTTGTCCGCTTCACGCGCAGGATATTGGAACCTGGACAGCGCAGGACACACTGGGGCACACAGGACACCAGTGGTCTTAGGACATGGGCTCTGGACAGTCACAAACACATTTAGTAAATTAAAAGGGAATTTATTGCTCACTAAATGCAGCCATTGCCGTGTGCATCCTGACCATCCCTAGCATCTACCATCTACCAGGTCCTGCCAAATGCCCTCGAGTGCGTGTTTGTTTGTCCGCTTAGCTCGGTTTCCTTAATCTTTGACAACCAGCCAGAGGTCGTTGCCTCGGTTTCAGTTTCTGCCACGCCGGCAATCAGAGCAAACAATGCACGGCACGGCTCCAGGGATTCCGGATTTCAGGATTTCTCGTTTCTGTACTCGTATGCTAGATTCCGTTGGACGGGGCCGCCAGTCGTCAGGACATGCTGCGGATATGCTGAGGTAACCCCCGTGGCACAGCAAGACCAGCAAGGTTCGTGTGCATGCAGCTGGCAAAAACAAATGCAGCATCTGGGGTCCAGGGCGACTAATTAATTATATCATTACAGTCGGCGGCGGTGGTAAAGGGCAGAAATCATTATACACAAATGTGCAGCAAAGTTGAGGTAATGAAGATTAAGATCCATAAAATTAGCAAATTCACTGGGTTTACGATGCACTTAACTCAGATTGGAAATGCTGGGTTTAAGAAGTCAACCCAAGGGATAGCATTTAGGTACATTTTCACAAATTTAGCTTCTATGATAACTATAAAGAGTGTCCTTTACCAATGATACCAAATAGTATTGTAAATGTGTTTTAAATATGTTTTTTTTACATTAAACTTAATGTCAAGCGAGTTAAAAGTCACATCTTAAAGCACCCTAAAAGAAAACCAAGCACACAAAGTCATGTTAGCCCACACTCCTTACATCATTCAAAGGAAAAACTACTACGAAAACCCGGCTATGTGGATTTATACACTGCACAAATTTGAGTGAACAAAAAGCGGCGAACCCAGAAATGAGAATAAAAACCAAGCTAATTTGGCACAATTTAAACATATGAGCACTCGCTAAACTTGGGGGCCATTCCTTATCCGAGGGTGAACCATAAAAACGACGAGGCAAGCCAGAAGTGCACTCTCCGGCAAAATAAATTGGTAATTGCATGCGGCAAGGCAAGCATTTAATGAAACGAAACAGGACATGCAAATGGCAATCCCAGATCCCCATTGCATCCTACCAATCTTCCCTCTCATCCTCTCGGTGACATAATGAATAGGATTTTGGGTTTCTGCGGCGAGAGAAACAGCCGGAGAAACATCGGGACATGAGCTCCTTTTGCCGGGCCAACACTGCAATTTGCACCCGAGCCAAAAAGGATATGCAAAGCGATACGAGGAGTAGTTGCGGCTGGATCTGGAGCAGGAGCAGGAGCAGGAGCATGGAGCATGAAGCTGAAGCTGGAGCTGGAGCTATTGCCTCATGGCAACAGATGTTGCATCTTTGTTGAAAAGCAGCCAATTTGGAGCGCACCGAAGCCGAAGATAGACATGGCAGAGTGACAAAAATTTAATATGAAAGCCCAGGCAACGGAAAACAGAGTCAGCCAAAAGACAAAAAACAAAAAACAAAAAACAAGAGGAAAAATAACGAAAATCGCCGGGCGAGAGCGAAATAAACGGCAAAATAATCGGCGCACAATGCATTGGCAATGAGCCAGCGTTGGGTTGGCTTGGGAGTAAAATGGGTCGGAAAAGCGGTTGGAAAAGCTGCCCACCCAGCCACCGTCTGTGTTTGCTATCGATGAAATTGTGGTCGCGACACGGACGAGGCGATAAAGCCGCTTGCGCCAGCCAAAACGAAAATGGGCGTTACAAATGAGGACAGGTGGCGAGCGGGCGGAGTTTTGCCATGGGTTGGTTGGATGGAGGTCACGACGGGACATGTAAAAATTAATTAAGCCCGCCCACGTCCACGTCCAAACTAATTGAGAATATAAAGCAAATTGCCCGCCCTATTCGGCACGAGTCGAAATTCAATTTGGATTGGCTCCGCTGAACCAGTTTTCTGGATCCCCTAGCCCTAGCCCTTCTACTATTATCGATTGGCTTTGTCTCCTCAAATGTCCACACAAAACTTTCAATTACAGCCTAGTGTCAGAGATCAACAAACAAACAGCCAAAGAGAAAAGAGGTTTTAGTGTGGGTTTGGGCTTTTTGGATGGTGGAAAACCAATGCCAGGGGCAAACATTTCAATTTGCCTGCCAGCTGACAAACGCCAAACAACGCCGTGGAAAAAGCGCAAAAAAAGAGCGTAAAATCGAGTGGGGATTGGCCCACAAATCGGACACATAGCGGAAAAAATAGTGGCTGGAAAACTGAAGAGCTGCAGCATCCTTTTCATATCCTGTGCGAACGGATGTGACAGCGAGCGGTGAATGGAACTCGATGCCCAAAGCCGGGCTCCACCGACTTCGGATTAGGTCAGTCTCCAGTTCCATTCCGTCTCTACACTATCCATATCTCCAGCGGAATAATAGTTTACATCGCTATATATTTATACAGTCGATCGAAATTCCGGAGCGTTTTCCATGACGGCCGATATGCGAGTGGCCACAGCTGCTGGCTAGCAATCAAAATGGCCGAAAAAGGCATATCGAAATAGCATCGGCCATATTTGTTTGCCCGTGGATTGTGGCATGTGTGAGCTATTATTGGCAAACGAACAAGCTGCGGCGCAAACATGGCCCAAATCCGAAACAATGAATGCAACAACTCCGCCAGTTGCAAGACAACACTATTTAAATGGCTTTTGTACCCTGTAGACAAGGCAATAGAACTTTGGTAACCAAAATGTTTATTGGTTTAAAGGAAACAAATTTATGTAAGCCATTCGTTAAGTAAATTAAAAGGGATAACGAATTTCATAAATTCAAATAAAAACTAGCTTAAAAATCTATCAAAAGAACATTCATTGATAATAATAATAATAATATTAATAAGGAGATAAGATAATTTTATAATAAGAAAACTATTAACTTAACTTTTTGAGCCTTAAAATATGCCAGGAACTATGGGCGGTTCCTCAGTCTTTATTCCAACAACACTCATTAGAAGCTAACTTCATCTAAAATCTTAACTGACAGACTGCCTGCCACACAGGGTATCAACTGATCCATCTGTTGGCCAATCATCATATAATATTCTCATTTTCCAATATTTACTTGTTGGTCATTTTAAAGTGGCAAAATATTTGTATAAAATGAAACACTTTTTTGGCGAACTGCAATTTGATTTACACCGGAAAAATAAACATAAAGCCTATCCAGAATATGGTTATTTGTGGATATTGGTATTATATATATACGAGTATATATATCAAAAGGGCTGACTCAGCTTAGATTTATTTGGTTTTCGCTGAAAAATGCATGCGTGGCAACACTTTTTTATGCCAGCATCCGAAAGCAGTTTATTGGCGCATAAAATTGAATTAAAACGCGGCCACAATGGGAAGCATTTTGGGGGGACCATGGGGCGTATGTGCAGTTCTGCTACCAGCAACTTGACTTTTCCATTCAAGCGGCCTTCTAAGAAAACCCTTATCTATCTCGCTGGCTAAAAACTCATTAAGGTGGCGGTCAAAGGGACAAAGGACAAAAGCCAGAACAAAGCACTTCCACATTCCACTGGCATTTTATGGCTTTCAAGGTTTAATTAAAATCCACTGACAAGTTTGCATATATCTCTCTCGTGCGTCTATCTAAGTACAAATATACAGATTTTTTTGGGAAACCAAGTAAGATGCTGCCCCCGGCGGCCAAGAAGTTCACCAGTAGAGGAGCAGCAAATAAAACGGGCCCACGCTGAGCAGCGTCAGCAGAACCATCATGAAACTGAAAAGACGCCAGTCCTGGAAGAGATCACACGAGTTTAACTGCTTGGAAGCATTCCCGTCCAGACTGCGTCGGCAGATGGGACAGCGGTTGGCCACCCAGCTGCGGGCTTCTCTGTACAACTCTAAACAAGATTTGCAGAAGGAATGGTTGCAGTGCAGCTTCTCCGGCTCCTGGATGTGGTCCAGGCAGAAAGCGCACAGATCCGGCTGCCCATCTTCATCTGGTTTGTAAGACGTTGGGACCTCCTTGGAGGAGTCGCTATTCGGCTCTCTGTTCTCTGCAAGGAGGATCTGCTGTACCATTCTGTTTGTTTTTCTTTGTTTTCTAGTCTTCGCATGTAAACGTTGCGTTTGGCGTGTAAAAGTGTTTCTGTATTTTATGTTTTTCTGATGTTTTATTGCTGTATTTTATGTTAAACTAAAAATTTGTTTAGCTTCCCTTGCCAAAAAAAGTTAACTTGACAGGTAAAGCGGAGTGGGGCGCCACCGCGATTAAATTTTAATTAAAATCCACGGCGATAAATCTGACCGGAAAAACACCTTAAGCTCCACCATCGTGGCCAATAAAATTTAATTATATCAACGCCGAGCGGCAGGCATCGAATGCAATTAGTAGTCGTCTTGTACAACTCAATTAGGAGCAGGTCTGGGCGGGAATGGGAGTGGTTGGGGGTCGAGATGGAAGCCATGTGTCGCGTGGCTCAGCTCATCCTTTTGGCTGGATTTTTCCACAGGACAACGCTTTGCACTTTGGGGCAAACGACCGCAGACGCAGACTCAGACTCAAACTCAGACGACAAAAATCGAACTTTGCAACTACTACTTGCTAGCTACAAGGAGAAGCGAGCAGCGACAAGACGCCGGCGATTACACCAACAGGGTTTTTAATTAAGCTCGGCACTAAAAGTCACATCATTCGAGGGTAGTGCGGCAACGCTGCCCATCCTTCGCAGGACGTCCAACAACAAGCAGCTGACAAATTGAATCACTGGCGTCAGCTGCTCTGCAATTTAACAGTCGGTAACAAGCACATATTATTAACGCCGGCCAATTAGGTGGCCATATAAACCAAACTGCTATCCAGCTATCCAGCTATCCTGGTATCCTGGTATCCTGCATTTGCATCCTTTGCATCAACTTGATTAAAAAGTTGCCAGTCGTCGCCATTGAAGCCAACTTGATTGTTTATTGTTCGGTGGGCAAAAGTTTTCCTCGGCAAATTGTTAAATTCTCAACTCGAATTAATTTGCCAGAGTTTCTTTAATTATGTTTATAGATGATGCCCAAGCAGTTGTTAAGACACGTTTCTGCCCCCCTACACCTCCTTCCACACACTTGCCAACTTTGCCCATTTTCCAGCTGCTCCACTTCTGCGAGCAGGTACTCAGGTACTCCAATCCATACAGTCACTTGGAAAACTCGGAAAAGGCGCCCAAAGACAAACGGCATCAATCTGCCAAAGTTGGGCTAAGGGGGCCGGGATCTGAACTTTATCTTTGGATTCGTTTTGTTATTATTTGCGTAAAGAATTAAAAGGAAATCAAGGCGAATTTCGATGGGAAGAATGCAAAAGATTTCAAAGGAACGAGCGCTTTAAAATAAATAGTACTTAAGGAATGTCTCGACAATTTGCTTTTAGTTTGTCAATCGAATTGGATAAATCGTTGCAGGTTTGCTGAAGACTTAAGGAAACAATTTGGTTAAATAAAGTTATGTACGAAAACTTCTTTTGTTAATCTCCCTTTTCTTGTAAAGTTTTGTTTTGATATTTCTCGTTTTTGAAATCAAAAAATTGTCCGCTTGCTATGTTAATTGTTCAGAAAATAAATTCAATTCTCACCCAAAAAACTAATTGGAACTAAATGCAGTTTATAGCAATTTAGGATATAAAAATAGGGATTGTTATAAAGTGTTTAATAAGAAGCCTTCAAAGCTAAAGACACCAAAACCACTTGAGCCAGAAAACCCATTTCATTTGAAATTATTCAAAAAAGTATCTTGGTAAATAACGTAAATCATAAATAATAACTTCAAATTTACAGCATTTTATCCTAGTCATTGGCTTAAATCGCCAAGTTAATTAGTGCTGTAAAGAAATCTCGCAAGTCTCTGGGCTGATTTAATATTTGCAAAACTGTTCGCTTTTTATCCCTGCCATTTTTTTCCGTTAGATCCTTTGGGGTTAGTAGTATCCACCCCAGAGTTTCCGCTGGATGACGTTGCATTTGGTTGCTGCCTTTTGGTACTTTCGCTAATGAGCTTTGTTACCGGATGCGGACTTACAACAAAACAGGGCAGCCAGCGGAGAGGAGCACCGCTCATTTATGCTAAGCTTTTTGTGCATTTAGACCGCAAAACAAGGACACCAAAGGCGAAACAACTGTATCTGTGGCGCTGCTGCTGCTGCTGCTGCTGCTTAATGGGTTAACGTGACACCGAATGAATCATGGGCGCCGCGCTGGGACCTCGGCATTAGTGGGTTAATATTTCAGCAAACGGAAACGGATGTTGCCTGTCCAGATTTCCGCCTCGAGGCGATTTCCCTGGCAATATTCTCTAATTTAATGAGGCCCTGCTTATTTCGCAATTAGCCGAAGTTGTGCTCGGCACAACTCTCACCTGATTTCCCTCTGTTTCTGCTTGGAAAATAAATGTAGCTGCGACTAATTAGCAGAAAAGTCTACTAAATTGGAGTGAATTTTGAAAATTGCATTTGCAGGTGTTGCAAATGAAACGGCGTCTCAGGACAAGCGAGAAGGAGAAGGAGAAGCAGATCTTCTTATGCTGGCATTGAGTGGCCTTATTTTGGCATATAATGGCTGCCGAGCAGCAGTACCAGCAGCAAAGGCCTCAGACAATGGGCACAAAAGGCCATTTACTCGCCTTTGGGCGTGTATACCGAGGCCTTCACCCACTTCATGTACCAAGGCAGCCCCCACCCACCACCAACATCTTTAACCCATTGCAGCTCACTTCACCTGGCCAACACTGGCACATGCAGGTGAATGCAGTGCATCCAGCATACAGCATCCAGAATCCAGCGCCCAGCCACCGCCCACTTGTCTTTTTGTGCGCCCTCAAGAAAGAGCCGTAATTCAGCTAAAATGCACTCAGCCAGGCTTTGTTAACCCTGTGCTGGCTCACAGTTGCTGTTGTTGCGGCTGGGAAGGTCCTTGGTCCTTGGTTAGCTTGGTTGGGTAGCTGCAGCAGGATAATTGGAAAGTAGGTTGCACATTTAGTTGCATTGTCTGAGCATACATCTCATGCACCATACCCCATTACCATACCCCATATAGCCATATCCATCCATTCCCAATGTAAGGCGACCCAGTTACCATAAATCAACCGGCCAATGGCGAGCAATTTGTCGGTCGATTTGCAACATTAACAGCCCAGGCCGTCTCATAAATTAAGTTAATATTTTTGCATCTTGGCCCGAAGAGCGGGTAGCCAAGTGGAATGCCTGTGATATCGACAATTCAATTGAAAAACTGGCAAATACATTGCCGATGGCCCAAACTAAAAGATTGTTGACAGCTCGTTACAGCAACTGCAACGACAGCAACAACAACAGCAGTTGTTACAGGCGTAGGAAAAGCCAGTGGGCGGAGTTTTTGGGCAATGAAAACTATGCAAATGACATGCAATGGCTGGGAAAACTTTGAAAAGCCAGCACAAACTAGGGAAACAGAATGGGGAAATTCGGAGGAAAGGCCTTAGGATAACTGAAGACCAAAAGCTGCAAATATATATATTTCCTATATATATATATAGACGTGTATATATGTATATGTTTATCTAGTTTTTGGGCGAATTGCATTATGCAAAGTTGAGCGATTTGGGATTGCTTTAATAGATAAGCAATATGCCGGGATGCTGGATGGCTGTGTTTTTACTGAGCATATAAATTGGGATTTATGCACATATACGTATATATATATATATATCCTTTACGATAAACGGCACAAATTAGAGTGCCGGAGGGACAAACGGAGACAGCAAATCATCGGTGGCAGTATCCTCCGAAGAAAACCGGAAAATTGCATGAAAATGACTTCAGCAAGTAGATACGAAGAAATTGAATGCAGGATATTTTCGGATGGGTAAGTGGCTTTAAAGCCTTATCTTGTTTGTGGTCTAATCTAAATTGTTAAGCAAAACAAAATAGCACAGAAAACCAACTATGACTCGCCAAGGAGCTGCAGCTAAATAGATGAATAATTTGACGCTGCGAAATCTCTCGCAACCAGAACACGATTTCGTAAAAATTCATCATGTTCTTTATATTATTCATATTTAAGGTCCTCTTCTATCCTTTTGATGGCCCTTCCAGGATCCCTCTCTCCCACTTTACCACAAACTTTAATCATAAAACAAGAAGAAACCACGAAACAGTTCCCAACACTTTCAGCAACTTGAGGATGGGGACAGGACTTCTCTGGACATTCTCTGGGATCTTCACCACCACCGCCGCCACCACTCGACTGTGCATTAATTCCTACCTTTTATAATGCAAAAATGAAAGAAATAAGGTGCACTTACAGTGCCTCCCACCCCCGAAAAAAGCCCCTCCACCTTTTCCTTGGAAAACAGAGGAAAGGAAGCATAAAGCAAAGCAAATTCCAAGCATGCCATGGAGATGGCGACTACGTTGAGGACTTGCACTCAACAAGGACGACCATGACGATGACGACGACGGCGACGACGGCGACGACGACGAGGACGTCAAGAGCAGTCCAAAATATTAAAAAACAAAAAGGAGAAAAAAACGAGATCCCACACAGTTGAATTTTTTGTTGTTGTGAAAATTCTTCTTAGCCAGCGGTTTTTTTTTTTTGTTTTTGAGGGAGGGGAAAACAAAGGCCTTGGCTAGTTGAAAATCCGTTGTTTAAAGTTGCTTTACCTAATTGTGAAAATGAGAGAGCGTGGATTACTCTATATACACTGCGGCTGCCACAGTTTGCCTACGAAATTGAGTGCCTGCCAGGATACTTATCCCCGGTTAGTGTATACGCTTCCAGTAAAACTAACAACCAACAACGAACTACCAACAACAATCGCAATGGTTGCACTTGAGCAGCGAGCACTAAGTTCACTTTATTATTGCTAGCTCGACGAAGTCACTTCCTCTGGCTTTTTCACTTTACCGCACATTTTTATTTTCATTTTCCACTTTCTTGTTAAAGGTTCCAGCAGCAGTTTTCCCAGCATAGCTCCCCAATGGCTAAGCAAATTTTCTGAGTGCGATGGCGCTCAGGTGTGGGAAATGTGGGAAAATGTGGGTAAATGGGAAAATGACTTAAAACGCATAGCAAATTATCTGCTAATGAGATCGGAATTCGCCTCTCTGAATACCAAAAGCCATTTTCCCCCTCTGCATAAACACAACACTGCAAGCTGCAGCTGTAAGCTTGAGCTGGTAAGCCAAGAAGGAGCACTTGGCCAAGGATAAGACGAGATGCTGTCAAAAATTCAATATGTCTGTCGAGTGTATTTGCAATCATAACATACGCAGTCGAGAAATGCAATTTTCACAGGACCCTTGAAGCCAGAAAGGACTTGCATCCACACATACGGACTGTATACTGCGAAAATTAGTTCAATCTCAAGTGAAGAGTTTTGATATTTATGCCTTTACGCAGAGATATCAATATGCCAGAGCTTTTCGATTGGGAAAATGTGAGATGTGAAATATAACTGACTTGGGAAGAGTCTTAATACATTTGCTTGATTAAGGAGAAAACTTACTTAATAGATAAACACTGTAATGCACGGCCAAATTTAGTTTAAACGAGGATTGCTATGGGTTTAGTCTTGCGATTGGGGAAATCAAAAGTATATTTGCGTAATTAAGACGAAATCTTTAGTTCTAACTCGAGTTTATATGGCCTTATGCTTTCGATTGGGAAAAGCAGAAGCCAAATTAAGATTAAATCTTATGAAACTTATCCAAATTTAATGCCTTAAGCTTGGAAAGATTTGCTGTATCAGCTGGAGCAGCTAGGGAAAACTTGGTTGCTGCTAAAACGTTTGCATATGCACATTACGTATACGCCAGCGCGACCACAGAAACTCCTGCTGTGTGTGCGGTTTTGTTTGACTGCCGCCAGGTGGCACCTAAGCATACTACTTTTTCGTCGCCTCCCTCCCCTCCCGCTTCAGTTAATATTTTCTGCACTTGGCTGCATAATTCACGGCAGCCGTGTGTAATTGCTGGCCAGGA